TTAAAGCAGGGGGCGGGGCCAGAAAAGTGGACGGGGTCTAAAGGGTGAGATTTAAAGGGGCGGCGCTGCGTCTGAGCTCCGAGGGTGGGGTTTCCTATTGGGGTGATGTTGGGGGGCACATTGGGGGCAATGGGGGCAAATCGGGTCTATGGGGGCACATTGGGGGCAGTGGGGGTAGCATGGGGTCTATGGGGTGGTGTTTGGGTATGGGGGCACATTGGGGGCAATGGGATGGTACTGGGGGGCTATGGGGGCACATTGGGGGCAATGGGGATAACGTGGGATCTATGGGGTGATGTTGGGGAGTATGGGGGCAGTATGGGGTCTGTGGGGTGATGTTGGGGGCTATGGGGGCAATATGGAGTCTATTGGGTGGCACTGGAGGGCTATGGGGGCACATGGGGGGCAGTGGGGGCAATATGGGGTCTATGGGGTGATGTTCGGAGGCTCTTGGGGAGAATGAGGGGGGGCGTGGCTTGCAACACAAGCCCCGCCCCCTTTTGGACAAAGCCCCGCCCCCCCAGGGTCTGACATCGCTGCCCCTATTGGAGCGCCTGGGCTGCGTCACCCTGCTGGATCTGGGGGGCAACGCCCTGCAGGGGCTGCCCCACACTTTGGGGGCGATGAGGAGGCTGCAGGTGGGTCACGTGACTGGGGAGGGGTACCGGGGTGCACTGGGAGGACTGGGAGGGGTTAAGGGGGGAACTGGGAGGACTGGGAGGGAGTACTGGGGGGAGTGGAGGACACTGGGAGCACAGGGAAGGGGGTAGTGGGGATACTGGGAGGACTGGGAGGGGTTAGCGGGGGGACTGGGAGGGACTGGGAGGGGGGGTTGGGGGGACTGGGAGCACTGGGTGGGGTTAATGGGGGCAACTGGGAGGCACTGGAAGCACTGGGAAGGGGGGACTGGGAGGACTGGGAGGACCCAGAGGGGCTTACTGGGCAAACTGGGAGTGCTGGGCTGGCTTTTGGGCGTGGCCATTCGAGTCCCCGCCCCCCTCGGCGCAGGTGCTGGACGTGTCACGCAATCAGATCACGACGCTGCAGGGAGTCCCGCCCCTCCCGCGGCTGCGAGAGCTGCGATTGGACGGCAACCGTAAGATGGGGCGGGGCTTAGGGATGGGGGCTGGGACAGAAGCACGGGGGCGGGGCCATGAGCCTGGGGGCGGGGTTAGAGCTCTGGGGGCGGGGCTTAGGGTATGTAATGACAGGGGCGGGGCTTGGAGACGTGGGGGCGGGGCTATGCAGACCACGCTGATTTGGCCCCTCCCCCAGCCATAAGCCACGCCCCCGCGTTGTCCCCATTGGCTGCTTTCCCCCGCCTGTCTGTCCTGGGATTGGCCGAGACGCCGTTGGCCGCCGCCCCTGACGCCGCCGCCCAATTGGCTGAGCTCCTCCCCCGCGTCACTGCCGTCCTCTCCTGATTGGACGGTGCCGTTTGCTCCGCCCCCTGGGAGGCGGGGCTTCAATAAAGTGCTGTCACGTGGCCGTTTGGCTCCGCCCCCTCCTTACGCCATCGCCGACCGACCGGTTCTGCTAAATAGTGAGCCACTCCCCCGCCCTGCCAAATAGTGAGCTCCCAGCCCTTCCCTGCAGCCACGCCTTTGCCTAATAGTGAGCCACTGCCCCACCCTGCAGGGAAAGGTTGCGAAAGAGTGACCGAGAAGTCACCCTGCCAGAAAGTGAGCCGTTGCTTTGCTCTATTGGATCTCTCTGCCATATAGTGAGTTTCAGCCCCCCCCCCCCACACCAGAAAAAGAGCCGTTGCGCCATCCCATAATGACCCACTGCCACATCGTGAGCCATTGCTTGGTCCCGTACCCTTAGGGCTCCTTTGCCACATTGTGAGCCACTGCCCTGCCCCTATTGCTCCCCTTGCCAGAAAGAGAGCCGTGCTTCAGACCTATTTATGTTTCCTTGCCAGATAGTGAGCCTTACCATAAAGGGAGCCATCGCTCTTTGCCAGATAGGGAGCCATTGCCTCATCCCCCTGCCACATAGAGAGCCACTGCCCCACCCCATAGGATTCTTCTTGCCACATAATGATCCCCCAACTGGATCTGCTTGCCAGATAGTGTGCGCCTGCCAGAAAGAGAGCCATTGCTCCATCCCACAGCACCCCCTTGCCATAGAATGGGCCGTAGACCCTTGCCACATTGTGAGCCTTCTCCCCACCCCTGGGGGTTCCTCTTGCCACATACAGAGCCGCCGCTCAGCCCTGTTGAGCCCCTCCTGCCAGAAAGTGAGCCGCCCCTCCCATTCAGACCTTGCCACATAGTGAGCTGCCGCCCCGCCCCATAAGCTTCCTCTTGCAACATAGTGAGCTGCAACCAAGCGTGGGGCAATGGAGGGGGCGGGGCTAAAGGGAGGCCACGCCCCCTTCCTCTCCCAAGCCACACCCCCTCCCCTAAAGCCACGGGCACCAGTGAGAGGAGAGCACTGGGAGCACTGGGAGAGGTAATGGGGGCACTGGGAGGGGGAACTGGGAGGCACTGGGAAGGGTTACTGGGGTCACTGGGAGCACTGGGAGCTGGGGGGCACTGGGAGCACTGGGAGGGGTTAATCGGGTTACTGGGAGCACTGGGAGGACACTGAGAGGCTTACTGGGCAAACTGGGAGCCCTGGGAGGGGTTACTGGGAAGACTGGGAGGATTCAGAGGGGGTTACTGGGTAAACTGGGAGCACTGGGAGGGGAGAACTGAAGTTACTGGGAGGACCTCGTGGTGGATACTGGGCAAACTGGGAGCACTGGGACTTACTGGAATGACTGGGAGGGGTGACTGGGAGA